GTGATTACGTATCATGGGCCAGTTGATGCAGAAGAAAGTGGTGGCTCTCACTCAGTAACTTGAGCTGCAGGAGGTATGAGTATTGTTGGTTCATATGGGCACAGTTGCTGTCTACTCAGACAGAAAGATCAGTCAAAACAACAGCGAAAAAGTAAAAGCAAGAGGACTAAAAATACACACCAAAAACACACAGGAACAGTCACCAAAAAGATGGGTAAAACAAGGAGGGCAATAAAAGAGAAAATATTTAAAGAAATACTTAAAAAACCCAAAAGAAATATGAATAGAAAAAGGTGGGTGCAGTGTAGTAAATGACAGTGTGGCTTTTCTAGCCATAAGTCTTTGTAAACTCTGTGATGGAATTTGCGTGAGAAACTGAGTATCTCCTGATTGTTAAAGTTATCCACCTGGGGTATTTCTAGTGGCATAGCACAAAGTAATTTTCTGGGAAGTTCGCTCTCTCTCTCTCAGGTTTATAGAATTCTAATGTTGGGTTGGTTAGTTAGGCCACTATGCCAGGCTCAAAAGGAGCCCTGCTAGAGGCAGAAGGAATCTCTCACTGTGGCGGAGAGACATGAGAGACACACACTGCTGAGAGACATACACCAAGAGACACACAGTGATTGGACAGAGACTGAGAGAGACTTTTCGCTGAGAGACAGTGGGCTGAGAGAGACTGAGCGTGTTCCTGAATTTGAATTGTAGCTTGTTGCTTCCCTAATAAACCCCATAATCTGTGAGTCTGCCTGGCCACTGCAGCGAATTATCAACCCCTGCAGAGAGGTAATGGTTACTGTGGGAGGAACAGTTGGTGTTAGGGTTGGTGAAAAGGCTGGAGGGAGGCAGCATGACTGTCCTCACAGGAATAGACCTTGGGCTATTAATGATGATTCTATCTTCCTTTTGTGGGGTTAGAGGAGGTCAGAAGATGCAGCCTCCCTGCCTCTTTGGCAGGTAGAGAAAAAAACTGTAATATATGGGGAGGGGAACATCAGAGAAAAAGTGGTAGAGTAGGAGAATAATGAAGGAAAAAATGGAAGAAATGCAAAAAGAAAAGGAATAGGGAGAACCACAAGAAAGAAAAACAATGGGAACCAGGAAAAGGGAAGAGAGAAAAAGCCAAATACTAGAACCTGGGAAGGAAAGAAGAAAGAACAGTACTAAAAACACAAAAAAGAAAAAAAAATAACAATTTTAAAACAGACAAAGACAAACAAACTAGAAAAAGAAAATGAAAAAAACATCTGGGTGGAGCATAGCACCCAGGCTCTGTTAGAGCATACAGACTGGATGGAATTCCTGCTGGCCCACAAGGTGGGTGGGAGTGAGGGATGACTACCCCTCTGTTCACCAAGAGGGTGTGGGGTATAAGAGTTACAAGAGGAGTATTATACCTTTCCAGTCATCAGTGTCTGGTATGTCCTTGTGGTCTCCAGCAAGTGGAGCCTATTCTTAGGTCCCTGGAATCTGAGAGACTGTCGCTTTAAATATCCAAAGTGATTGAATCGCTTCTTAACATTAAAAATGGCTGCACCCTCTAGACAGCCAGTAGTCTACAGCTCAGCCCGTCTCCCTCTTCACTGCTTCCCCTTTTATTCACCAGCCACCATTGCAGTCCTCCATGCAGTCCCTGGCTAGCTGGGCCAATTTTTAGGTTAATTCTTAGTTCCTAATGCCACTTGGCAATATCCCAGCTGTCCGTGCCATCAGGATCACTGACAGTAGCTCCATATGTCTACTTTTTTGGTGTTTTCATGCAGGTTCTTCTACTAGTTCGAGTTTAGTCCACTTCTGTATCCTTATTTTCAAAGCTCAGGTCTCCAGGGTTATCTTCTATATCTGTGTTAATTGATTGCTCTTTTTTTGTTGAAGGGGGTCTGTGTAGTTTGTCTGCCTATTCCACCATCTTACCATAACCTCAACATTTGATTTCTTGACTGCTGCTTCCTTGAGTGTTGATTGTGGATCCATGTAAAAAGAAATATTTGGCAACTTTAATCTTTTCTCTGTTTATTGCTTTGTTGATTATTCGTCCAGTAGAGAGAATTTTTGTTTTCTTTATGTTGAGCTGTAATCATACTGAAGACTGTAGACTTTGACCTTCATCAGAAGTGCTTTGAGTCATCTTCAATTTCAGCCAGCAAGGTTGTGTCATCTGCATATTGCAGGTTGTTAATTAGTCTTTCTCCATTCTTAAATGCCAGGTTCTTCTTCATACAGTCTAGCCTCTCAGATTATTTGCTCAGCATACAAATTGAGTAAGTATGGTGAAAGGCTACAACCCTGATACACACCCTTTCTGATTTTAAACCATGCAGTACCTTTTGTTCTGTTCTAATGATAGCCTCTTGGTCTACATAAAGGTTCCTCATGAGCACAATTAATTGTTCTGGAATTCTCATTCTTTTCAGTGTTATCCATCATTTGTTAGGATTCACACAATCGAATGCCTTTGTGCAGTCAATAAAACACAAGTAAACATCTTTCTGGTATTCTTTGTGCATAGCCAGGATCCATCTGATATCAACAATGATAACCCTCATTCCATGTCCTCTTTTGACTCCAGCTTGAATTTCTGTAAGTTCCCTGTCAATATCCTGCTGCAGCCATTTTTAAATTACCTTCAGCAACATTTCACTTGCCTGATCTTGTTCAGTAATTTCCACATTCTCTCAGGTCATCATTTTTGGAATGGGTGCAAATATGGATCTTTTCCAGTCATTTGGCCAGGTAGCTGTCTTCCAAATATCTTGCCATAAGCGAGTAAACACCTCCAGTGCTACGTCTATTTATTGAAACATTTCAATGGGTATTCCATCAGTTCCTGGAATCTTGTTTCTCATCAATTCTTTCAGTACACCCTGCACTTTTTCCTTCAGTGCTGTTTATTCTTGACCATATACTACATCCTTAAATAAGTGGACACTGACCATTTCTTTTTGGTACAGTGACTCTTTTGTATTCCTTCCATCTTCTTTTAATGCTTCCTGCGTCGTTTAATGTTTTGGCCATACAATCTTCTGTATTGCAACTCGAGGGTTGATTTTTTTTCTTTAATTCTCTCAACTTGAGAAATTCTGAGCGTATTATTCCTTTTTGGATTCCTAACTCCAGGTCTTCGCATGTTTCATTATAATACTTTGTCTTCTTGAGCTGCCTTTTAAAATCTTCTGTTCAGCTCTTTTATTTCATCATTTCTTCCATTTGCTTTAGGTACTCTGTTCAAGAGCAAGTTTCAGTCTCTTCTGACATCTGTTTTGGTCTTGTCTTCCTTTCCTGTCTGTTTAATGATCTTTTGCTTTCTTCGTGTATAATGTTCTTGATGTCATCCTACAACTTGTCTGGTCTTCAATTTGAGATCTTTTGCTTTCTTCATGTATAATGTTCTTGATGTCATCCCACAACTTGTCTAGTCTTCAATTGGTGTTCAGTACATCAACTCTTTTCTTCTGATGTTCTCTAAGTTCAGGTGGGACATAGTCTAGGTTATATTTTGGCTCTGGTGGAGTTGTTTAATTTTTCTTCAGCTTCAGCTTGAAGTTCCATGTGAACAATTGATGGTCTGTTCCACAGCCACTTCCTAGACTTGTTTTGACTGATAATATTGAGGCTATCCATCACCTCTTTCCACAAATGTAATCATTTTTATTCCTGTCTGTTCCATATGGCTATGGCTATGTGTATAACCACTGTTTGTTATTCATTTACAGTGAATACAGCATTGGTCTTGCAAAATTCTATCATGTAATCTCCACTGTCATTTCTCTGACCAAGGCCATATTTTCCAGCTACCTATGATTCTTCTTTGTTTTCAATGTTCACATTCCTTAATAAGGAATACATCTTTACTAAATGTTTGTTCAATTTCATACTGCAGAATTTCTAAGAATCTTCAATTTCTTCATTTTTGGCTTTAGTGGTCGATGCATAAGTTTGAATAATAGTAGTGTTAAGGTGTCTTCTTTGTAGGTGTATTATCCTGATACTATCCTGTCACTGACAGCAGAGAGATCTTGAAATGTTCTTTTTGATGATGAATGCAGTGCCATTTCAATTTAATTTGTCATTTCCATCATAGTAGAACATGTCTGATTTAAAATGTCCAGTACCAGTCCATTTCAGCTCACTAACACCTAGGATATTGATCTTTATGTGTTCCCTTTCATTTTTGACAACTTCCAATTTTCCTAGATTCATATATTGTATATTCCATGTTCTGATGACTAATGAATTTTTGCAACTGTTTCTTCCCATTTTGAGTCATGTCTTATCAGCAAATGAAGATCCTGAAAACTTTACTTCATTCACATCATTAAGATGACTCTAATTTGAGCCAGCATTTCTTCGCTGATCATATTTTGAGTGCCTTCCAACCTGAGGGGCTCATCTTCTGGCACTATATCAAATCATATATCATATATCATATCATATCATATCATATCATATCATGTATTATATCATATCATACATTCACTGTTTCACTGCTGTTCATAGGGTTTTCAGTGGCCAGTTTTTTAGGAAGTGTATAGCCATATGTTTCTTCCTATCTGTCTTAATCTGGAAACTCTGATTGAAACCTGTGTACCAAGGTAGACCCTGCTGGTATTTGAAATACCAGTGGCATAAGCCTGCAGCCTCACAGCAACATGGAAGCCACTACAGTACAATAAACTGACAGATGAGTGGTGATTCCTAATTTTAGTCTTCAAAAACATATAAAGCACCCTTACATGCATTCTATAGTTATCTTAGCTCTTTAGAGGTATTTCATTTGTAGACTTTAAGTGTTAATATGAAAAATGATACTCAGAGTTTGTTACCTCACATGATTCTTTCTGTAATTGCCCCAAATTAATTATAAACTTTATCTTTAAATATATGGTAAACTTTTGTTTAATAGAAAAACAAGCCCATATGTGTATGTATGCATCTTAATCTAGTAAACAACAATGAAAATCTTGAGTAAAAGCTTATGTTTACTTTCCATTGTTTCTTTACAGGCATTGCTTCTATGACAGTGCCCGTGTACATCGCTGAAGTCTCACCACCCAATTTAAGAGGCAGATTAGTTACCATTAATACCCTCTTCATCACAGGAGGGCAGTTCTTTGCAAGTGTTGTTGATGGAGCCTTCAGTTATCTACAAAAGGATGGATGGAGGTCTGTAAATAATCCCTACATTTACTTTTTCAAATAAAGCATGATTTTAGGGGATGAGGATATTGGTAAAAATACACAGCTGAGTATTTTGAACTATTACAGCTTATTTATAAGTCAGTGGTATTCAGCAAATTTGAAAGTGGACAAGAAGCTGATATTTATTTTAATGATAGACAGGGAACCTACTATTAAGAATTGATATTTGCAGGACTGTTTTTAGCATTTAGATGACATTTCTCACACTATGTGTAGTCTTTTGAAATATTTGTTTTAAAATGAATGGTGTAATAAATATGCATGGGATTCTTGAATTATGTCAGTGATAGACAAGCTGTTTATGAACCCCAGATACAGCTAAGGGCCTTTTTTGGATTTAGGAGGCTACATTTTTATCTGAAAGAAATACAGTTTTTTAAGTTACAGATTTAACTTTGTAAAAGATATTAAATACCTAAATAAAAATATATTATTATTTAATCATTGTTTAACTTGTTTTGAATAGAAAACATGATGAGAAAAGTAATATTAAAAGACTAAATTCTGAATGAATGTTCTAAGCACAAACCATTTAATCTTTTGTCAGAACTTAGAGATATTAGAAACTCTGATTTTGATATCTAACTTTATAGTATTCAAAATAGCAGACTAATGTAATTGCTCTTGAAAATTTTATTAAAAGGCACAAAAATTACATATATTCTCTAACTTCTTTTCTTGCCACCATTTATTATGTCGAGCATTATTCTATAGATGCTTGGGATAGAATATTAAACAAGATAGACTCAAATTCTACCTTACAAAGTCCTTTGGATAAAGGATGGGTACTACTTTAAGTAAGTCTGTGGTTGTCAGGTAGATGAAATAAGTCTCATCTTACGGCCTCTATTTTCTTTATCAAGAAGGATGGGGCCTGGAGGTGGTAGGACACAGTACAGAGGAAAAAAAAAGGGCTAAATGCCATAGCTGCTGCAAAACATTGGAGGAGGAAAAGGCAAGAGAGACAAGAAAACAGTGGAATCCTAGCTGAAATTAGAGACAGATTTGCAGTAAAGCCATTTAGCATGCTTCTGTGAGTTTTTCTAGCATTAACTAGAAAGCCTAAAAGTAATAAAATAAAATAAATTACTAGGGAAACTGACTTGGGTAAGTTTTTAGACCAACACATAGACAAACCAAATCACTTAAACCCACCTTATTTACATGAATACACATCTAATTATGTTTGTGTGTAAACATGTCTACTTTTTTAAAAGGTGAACTTTCTGTATGTAATTGTCTTCCATTATTTAGCATCCTTACTAATGTTTGTCTCAGCTGACTCCTGTGCCAATACGAGCATGACTATTAATTAGTAAGTAAAGACTGAAGTATTATTATTTAGCATTAAATTTAAAACGTGGAGTTAACAGCAATTATAACTCATTCATAAATATGACAATGATAACTCGTTGTTGTTGCAATGTATTTCAAGAATCTTAAGGAAAATTTGCGACTACATGTTCCATATGAATTTTCTTTCTGATACTCACATTTTTGTGTATCTTAAAGATTGTCTCTACCTCTTAAGAATTTGAATATTTTAACATTGTTTATTTTTTCCTTTCCCATTTTGATTTCTATTGCTTCTGACTGTCTACATCAGGTTCCTAACATTTGCTTTTTTTAACAATAGTTTATTGTTTGTTTAATGAAAAGTTACACAGCAAATTAGGTTCCTTCCCATTTGACAATTTCTACACAAATTGTTCAGTGACAATAGTTATGTTTTACACAACATGTCACATTCTCTTTATTTGAATTCTGGTTGTTCCATTTCTAGCACTCTAGTTTTCCTACCCCCTTACCTTCTCATCTTTATTTTTGGGTAATTGTTGGCCTTTGGTCTCATGTACATAGTTTTTTAATGGAGCACTGTGCTCATAGGCAATATACTTTATTTTGTGTGCCAGTCTGTTATTTTGCTAAAAGATGACCTCAACGAATAGTTTTGGTTTGGGGTTTAAAGACTGTCTCGGAGTGATAGTCTTAGGGACTCCTCTCACCTCAGCTGGTCCACTGAGTCTGGACTCAGTGAGAATTTGCATTCTATTCCACATTTTTCTCCTGATCTATCAAGGTCCATCTGTTGTGGCCCTGATCCCAACATTTCATTTTGTGCTATATACCCCATCTCCCAAACTTAAAAGCTGACTTTATAACGATGAACAATTTCATAATCTATAAGGGAATCATATTTGATCCTAACCAAACTTTTCATAGGTTGGCAGAATATTATTCTCATTTTGCAGATTTAAAAAACACTAAGAAAAGTTAAACGTTTACCTTAGGCCACATGGCTATTATATGGCAGGCATTAGAGCAAAGCTTCTGACTTGAAACCTAACTACCGTCTTATGCGTGAACCTGCTTTCAAGTAATAATTGTTGATAATTTTTACAGTAGTGATCAGTTTAAGACATCCAGAAGAAAAAACTAATTGACAGAAGAACTTCGATTTTGATGTTGTTGAAAGACTGTAACTCAGCTTTTATGCCAGATCTGTCAAAGTTCTGTTCTCTTGTTTGCATGTTCAGGAAATAAAAGTTTTCTTCTGAACAACTAGTTTGTTTATCTAGATTAGGTAAACAAGATTAGTTTACCTAGAAAAAGAATTGCAAGTATAAATTGAATGTTGATATTTTTATTAGCACTCCAGTGTTAAGATACATGCTACACTGTATGTACAGGATGTCCTCTGGCTTCACAAGGAAAGGGTAGTAATGATTCTGAAAATATCACTAAATACTTGATTTTTTAACAGTTTTATGGAAATATATTGTTCTCATACTGTACAGTGCACAGATTTAAAGTATACAATTCAGTGGCTTTCATATGCTCACAGAATTGCATACTCATCACCACAATTAATTTTAGAACATTTTTATCAGCCTAAAAGAGAAACCCACACCCCTTAGCCATCAACCTTCAATTTCCCATTCCCGCTCCCAGCCTTAGGTAAACACTAATCTCTCTGTTTATAAATTTGCCTGTTCTGAATATTTCATATAAGTAGAGTCATGCAATGTGTGACCTTTTTGACTGACTTCTTTCACATTTTGGTAAGTAATATTAATGATATAAAGTTCCATAATTATTTGATGTTAATATTTTCTATGCTAATATTTCTTAATTTTATTGAAATAGTGAGATTTACTCACTATGAAACAAGTGAAGGTGTTCTTTTTTTAATTGCTAGTGTAAAGCTTGACATACAGCAGACCCTCAAGAAATACATAATAAAGCAAATTGACTTGCCACTATAATAATTTGTCTAAAATATGTATTGGGGCATAACACTGCTAAAAGTCTTCAAAGACTTTACAGCTCCTACAGAGAAAAAAAAAAAAAAAAAAGGACAAGTTCTTTATCATGGCTTGCAATGTTTTCTATTATCCACCCAAAATCTACTTTTCTATATTTTTGTCACTCATTGTTCCCTCCCTTTCTCCTCCTTTATATATTACTGTTGTTGTTAGGTGCAACTGAGTTGGTCCCAACTCATAGCAACCTTATGCACCACAGAATGAAACACTGCCTGAGCCTGTGCTACCCTCACAATCATTATTTGTCTTGAGCGTATCATTTTAGTCACTGTGTCAGTCCATCTTGTTGAGGGTCTTCCCCATTTTTTGCTGACCCTCCACTTTACCCAGCATGATATCCTTCTGCAGGGACTGATCCCTTTTAACAACCTGATCAAAGTATGAGATATGAAGCCTGTTCATTCTCACTTATAAAGAACATCGAGCCTGTACTTCCTCCAAGATTGATTGGTTCATACTTGTAGCAGTCTAGCCAAACCAAAACCAAACATTGCTGTTGAGTCCAATCCAACTCATAGCAACCCCTCCTTGGGTTTCTGAGGCGGTATCACTACAGAAGTAGATTGCCCAACCTTCCTTCCATCTAGCAGTCCATGGTCCCTTAAATATTCTTTGCCAACACCACAGTTCAAGAACATCAGGTCTGCAGTCTTCCTTAGTCACTGTCAAGCTCTCACATCCATATGAAACTATTGAACATACCATGGCTTGGGTCAGGTGCACCTTGGTCTTCAAAGTAACATCTTTCTCTTAAACACTTTAAAAAGGTTCTTTGCAACATATTTGCCCAGTGCAGTAGGTCATTTGATTTCTTGATTGCTGCTTCCATGGACGTTGATTGTGGATCCAAGTAAAATAAAATCTTTGACCACTTCAATCTTTTTTCCATTTATCATGATGTTGCTTATTGCTCCAGTTTTGAGGATTTTTGTTTTCTTTATGTTGAGTTGTAATCTATGATGAAGACTGCAGTCTTTGATTTTCATCAGTAAGTGATTCAGGTCTTCATTTTCAGCAAGTAAGGTTGTGCCATCTTCATATCACAGGTTGTTAATGAGTCTTCCTCTGATCCTGATGCCGTGATCTTCTTCATATTACCAGCTTCTCTGATTATTTAGTCAGCATAAAGAATGAATAATTATGGTGAAAGGATACAACCCTGACACACACCTTTCCTGATTTTAAACCATGCAATATCCCCTTATTCTGTTTGAATGACTGCCTCTTGGTCTATATGTTCCTCACATGCACAATTAAGTGTTCTGGAATTCTCATTCTTTACAATGTTATCCATAGTTTGTTATGATCCATACAGTAGAGTGCCTTTGCATAGTCAATAAAACACAAGTAAACATCTTTCTGGTATTCTTTGCTTTCAGCCAAGATCCATTTGACATCAGCCATGATTTCCTTTGTTCCCCGTTCTCTTCTGAATCCAGCTTGCATTTCTGGAAGTCCCTTTACACATTAACCACACCCAATGATTTGTGCTCCACCAAACACACATTGCTTTTTCATATTTCTAGTTTTGTTTAATTTAGGTTTTTTCTTTTTTTGTTATGCCTATCATATGTTTCTATCAATCTTGCTCTCTTTTTCTAATTCCTTTTCATCCTTTAAATCCCTGTTCAAGTGTCA